ACGGAGGGAGAAGAAGGAGGAAGATGACGAACATACGATTGCATTCCAAACGCGCGCCCAAGTGGCCTGGGCGCGCCAAATGCGCGCCGGGAAGGCGGAAGGAGGAGGAGAGGGCGCAGGAGGAAGATGACAATGTATTTGCGCCCTGCCAAGACGCACAAGCCATGCACTGCATATCATAGATACTCGTCTTCTCCGAATTGAAGTGGCCTGGACACTTTGATTGCTAACGCGTCCCATTTTTGTTGTCTAGCAGAGTGTCCATTAAAGCTTCAGAACTAAGGAAACAAGGAGAATAAGGGGTAACAGCCCTGCTGCCCCTCTTTGGCCCCCCCCCCGCGCACGTTTGCAAAGTAGCGCAGCCGGCTTGAGGCCATCAGGTTGAAACGTTGAGGCGCGCAGCGCATGAGAACCAAGGCTCCGGCCAATCTTCCCAAATCGCTGAAGTTGTTGTTGCAATAACTGCGATGTGTAAGGCAATTGTTGGCTTCTCTCCAGAACGATCTTGTTTGATACTTTGGATATGAACGAATGGGGGATATTCAATATTTTCCTGAGGCACTTTGCTTGGAAACTGTCCAATCGTCGTTTCTCGGCTTTGTTGAACCATGCCGAGCTGAGGGAATGCGATACTTTGCTTGTGACCGTCGCTAAGAAAATCTGCAACTTCCTCTTGATGCTGATTGAGGTGTGCTTCCATACTTTCGCATGCCTGCAGAATTCCCCCCAAGCCTGCCCCAGTCGTTTGTTCAATTCTGCGTAAGTGTGCCCAGTATTGTAGATTGTAGCCCCAAGGTATACTAAATTGTCTTTTGCATGTATCTGTCCCCCGTGAGGCGTAAATAACTCCATATTGTTGTTTACGTGCGTAACTTGAAACTTACCCCAATGCAGCTCCATGCCAACTTGCCCCCCAGCGGTGGCGACCGCATTCAACAAGTTTTGGGCCTCTCGTTGATGTCTGCCATAAATCAGAGTATCGTCTGCGCACAACAGACTTGACACAATACCACTTGTGAGCGAAAGTTTTGATTGTTCGTCGAGGAGTTCCATCGCATCGTACATTACCATCGTCATCACCATCACGAACAAGAGCGGTGACAGGGGGCATCCCTGCGCGATGCCTGAATGTTGCGGCCTCTCTTTCGACTTATGCCCACCATCCGTGACACAGAACTTCCTGTTAGTATATATGTTTTTGATAATTGCCAAAATGCGCGTGGGGAGACCAAATCTTCCAGGAGCTGGGAGCATCGCATCCACATTAATTGAATCGAAGGCTTTCTTCCAATCCAGCGCGACGAATGTTGAGCCACCATTTCGCCCTATGTTTGATACTTCTATATGCCTTCGTACCATATGTATTGCATCTGCCGCGCCGCGCCCCCCGCAGAAGCCAAATTGCGTTGCGTCGAGCCGGTCTTCAGCACCAGCATTTTGCAATCGTTCTAGAAGTAAGCTTGCCACCATTTTGTACGCCACGCAAAGTAAGCTGATTGGTCTGTAATTGTCGCAGATGTGCACGGGCCCTTTGTTCTTGCATATTGCGCATACCAACGAGCGCCGCCGAGCGTGGGGAACAGCTTCCTATGACCAGCATGCGTTTCATAACTTCCTCAGCCACTCGATACCGCCGGGAGTTTGGGCCACTGCCTTCCAGCATTCTGCAGGAATCCCGTCCGCTCCAGCAGACTTGCTCCATTTGAATTGTTTGGCAACTTTCCCAACCTCTTGCGGTGTGAATGCCGCCTCGCAGACTGGCAATGTAGGCCCCAAGCGGTCCGTCGGTAATAATAATGCTGGTCGTTCTCTCCATTGCACTTTTTCCAGGAACTCCGCCATCGTGTCTGCCCGTCCGGAACTCTCCACCAATTCCCCCGCCAGGTTTTGTAGGCGTCCTTGTTTGCGCGGGCGTGCTCGGCAATGAGCGCGCATGGCATCCCAATTCCCATTTGCGACGCGCCCTTCAATCCAGGACGATTTGTCTTGTTTGCATGATTGTCGTACTTGTTTGAGCAAACGCTTCTCTTCTTGAGTGTTGCTTGCTTGTCGCGCCCTGCTCCTCTCATCAATTAAATCCAACGTCCGTTTGCTAATCCATGGTCTTTTCTTTTCAGCTGAAGCTGGTGGAAGTACATTGGTAGCAGCTTGAGCCGCCTGCGCCCCTTGTTCCCATAGGCTTTTTTTCTACAGTTTCTGACGTCGTTGGGACATCTTCCAATACTTCAAAAATCTCTCTGCATATAGTAGTCGTAGCCCGCGGTCCCGGAGAGCTTCGCGTGCGACTCCTGCGCGTTGGTGTTCGCGCGGTGCTTCCAATTTGCATGCCATGGCGCAGGTGGCAAGGTAATGGTCTGTAGCCAATGGTATTTGTCATGGCTCTTCATATCCTGCATTTGCGATAATACGGCAGCGTCGCAAAGAAGCATGTCCAATCTGTTGCACTGGCTCTCCGTGATCTCCCCGATGAAACTCGCGCCAGGCTCGATGAAGGTGATCTTCTCCTCAAGTGGCCGGTTGAAGAACGAATGCGAAATCTTCAAATCGAGGCCGTCGCAGACTTCGATTAGCAAATCGCGGTTTGGAGCTTCTACTGCATGCGTTGCTTCTCTGCCCCAGCCGCAACCCCCCATAACCTGTTATTCTCCATTGCGTGCTCGCCCCATTCGTGCATTCAAGTCCCCAAAAATTTTCTCCCCAGCATTTGCAAAGCAACCCCTGTGTTCCATATCGAGATCGGCATAACATTGCAGCTTCTCTGGGGCGGGCCTGGGGTTTGGAGGGGCGTAAACGCAGAATAGTCCAAACGCGCCTTTCTCCATTCGGATCTTGACCCAAACTATTATGTCCGATGCTTGTTTATGCGATCGCATTCGCTTCCATAGCGATTCTGAAATAATGAACCCAACTCCACTGAAGGATTGCGCCTCCCCTTCTGCGCCTGATAGTAAAATTACGTATCCATTGAAATCGTAAACGTCTGCCTGATTATGTCGTATTTCTTGTGCGCATAATAACTGGGTGTTGTGATTACCCATGTGCGTTGCTATTTCAACCAATTTCTCCTCCGTTAAACCTTTGACTTTCCATGTTGCAACTTTGAGTAGTGAACTCGGTATCTCGGAGACGCTGTTGTTCCCCGAGGGTGAGACTATGCTTGCGCGTCTTTGGCGTCGTCACTGCGCGGGCTTACCTTTGCCCACCCCTTTTGATGAGTTGGCCGCGCTCCTCTCAAATCTTTCATTGACTTGTTGTTGCGCATCTTTCCATTCTGCCGATTTTTGAAGTTTGTCCCATACCTCCCATGTTTGATCCAACCACGCCAACTTAAGCTTCCAATTCTCCACAGTTGCTTTCAATACTGGTTTGCCCCCAGCTCTGAGAATACCGATGTCCCCGTCGACCTTCGGCAATTTCTCCTCAAAGCCCCACTGGGTCAAGATGTAGCGTAAGCTTAATAATAATGACGTGGCGGCCCGCTTCTCGATGGGAGCGTCTGTGTTGCACCAGACCCGGCGAGATCCTTCTTTGGGATTTTGAGTCCCACATGCTTCTTGTAGAATTGGCAAAACTTGTTTGGAAAGCGTCTCGGACGGGAACTCGAGGCACAATATGCCTTTGAAGTCTTCTTCGAGAGGTCTTTTTTTGTATGTTTTTGAAAGGGCTGGGCAGTGAGCGTCCTCCAATATTTGGGCCACCCATTTTTCCGCGTCTGCAAGAATGTTTTGCGGCAGACCCCCAACTACAAGGGTGGAAGCTGTGTGTAGGCCGGTTGCCGAAGATGTACCCGTAGACCTCGGTGTTACCGTCGTCCTTAATAATTCCATTTCTTCCCGGAGCTCTTCGATGCATCTGTCGACGTCCGCTGGTGCGCAGAAGGAGCTCATCTCTTCTTGTAGAGCTTCGACGTCGTTTTCAATGTGCGTGATGCGGATGTTTTGTTCTTCCATGTTGGCTTGCATTGATTGTTGAAATATTTGAAATCGCGCCCTAGAGCCTAGAGCCTGGGATACCTTCATGACTGGAGCGAGGTAATCCCGGAACATGGTGTTCATCGCCCCCATGGTTACTGGTGCCTCTGCGTTTGGTATTTGTGCTGGAGGTAGTAGGTCTTCATCGTCCACGTTGTTCAGGTCCAGGGTGCGGGGTTGTAAGCTGTTGGCCGGTACTGCACGTCCACGTTGAGCATCGGCTGCGCTTTCCAACCCATACATTTCTTGAAGCGGACTGCGTTGACGAGGTTCCACGCGACGCCCACCACTCCCTTCTGGCGAAGAGATTATATGTTTCTCTGCTGGCATATTCGGCACACTTGGCGTGATGCGCGGAATGGTAAGTTGAGGTTGCTTTGGCGGTCGATGGGTGTGCTCTGAGCCAAAACCTGGTCTGAGCCAAAATCTGGTCTTGAGCCAAAACCTGATCTGGGCCAAAACCTGATCTTCAGAACCTCCCCCAAATAGGGGTGAACTGATTATTTGTTCGTTGGCCTTATTGAAGGACTGGGGTCCCACCAATCGGGGGTAACTATTTTGTTTTCCGTCGCAGCGCAACAACGACTACGACAACAGCTAAGACAGGAGGAGGGAGGAGGAGGAGGAGGTGGTTTAGGACCAGTCCTTTTCACCGCCGAGAGAGGGGACAAAAACTAAAGACCTTTACAGGTTACATCTACAGAGAAGGCCTGCACCTTCTAAGCAGCAGGCGTTCTTCTAAGAAGCCTTCCCCCCTCCCCCTATACCCCCTCTGCGCGTGGCTGATTCTTTCATGACCTGAACCCAGACAGGCGACGTCCTGATTTATTCCAGACGCGGCCCCTGGCAGTTCCGACCCTTTCCCCAGGACCGGCTTCTCGTCCTGACTCGTTTTGATCGAGAGGACGAATACGGCGAACAACCTCCCGCCCTGTGTCGCCACGACGCCAGCAGGTCTGGGAAGGGCTCTGGGCACCGGTGGCCGAGGGCAGACGGAGGAGCGGCGCGTCCGGCGACGGGCGCGCGGCCTCAGAGGAAGGAGACATGCCTGCGCCGGCCGCTGCGCCTCGCGGGCGCGGGCGCCCGCGGGGCGGCAGCGGCGAGCGGTACCAGCGCCTGCGCGGAGGAGAGAGGAGGAGAGGAGGAGGAGGAGGAGGAGGAGGAGAAGGAGGAGTAGAGAAGGAGGCCTCGGAGGAGGAGGCTTCGGAGGAGGAGGAGGAGGCCTCCCAAATGGGGTCCGAGTGGATGGGGTCGGGGGATCGTGCCGCATCGCCAATGCATTGCCGATGTGTCGGCGACGCCGGTGTGGTGAAACTCGGGCTCCACGTCGAGCCGCATCGCCGACACATCGGCGATGCGGTCTGATGTCTGATCCTCCGACCCCATGTGCGCTTAGGTCGGCTTAGGTTGGGCATAAAACATTAGAAAAAGCGTGTTCTACTGCTGCTAGCGGAAAACCGGGGGGGGGGTCACTACCGGTTCGAACCCTCCCCCCCGGGCCCCGCCTCCGGAGAACCGGGGGGGTCACTACCGGTTCGAACCCCTCCCCCCCCCCCCCCACAGTCCATCATGAAAAGGGGGGGGGGTCACTACCGGTTCGAACCCCCCCCCCTCGCCGCCGGCAAACGATGCCCGCTCCTCGGGACAGTTGGAGAATGGTGGGGATGTTGGGACAATGGTGGGAACGGTGGTGGTGGGGACAAAGGTGCGGGGACAGTGGGACAGTGATACGGACAGTGGTGGGGACGGTGGTGGTGGGGACAGTGGTGAGGGGACAGCGGGACAGTGGTGGGGACAGTGGGACAGTGGTGGGGACGGTAGTGGTGGGGACAGTGGTGAAGGCGGTGGTGAGGGCAGTGGTGGGACAGTAGTACAGTGGGGAAAGTGGTGGGGACAGTGGGAAAGTGATGGGGACAGTGGGGACGGTGGGACAGCACAGTGGGACAGCGGCGGGGACAGTGGGACAGTGGGACAGTGGTGGGGACCGTGGGGAAAGTGGGGAGAGTGGTACCGTGGTGGGGCAATGGCGGGGAGAGTGGGGACAGTGAGACACTGGTGGGGGCACTCGTGGGGACAGCGGGGACAATGGTGAGAACAGTGGAGTGGGAATGTGGTGGAAACAGTGGGACAGTGGAGGGTACAGTGGTGGTGGTGACAGTGGTGAGGGCGGTGGCGAGGACAGCAGTGGGATAATGGGACAGAGCTACAGTAGGGACAGAGGTGGGGACAGTGGGGACAGTGGTGGGAACAGTGGGACAGCTCAGTGGGACAGCGGCGGGGACAGTGGGACAGTGGGACAGTGGTTGGGGCCGTGGAGAAAGTGGAGAGAGTGGAACCGTGGTGGGAACAGTGGTGGGAACAGTGGTGGGGACAGTGCGACAGTGAGTGGAGGGAACAGTGGAACAGTGGTGGTGAGGACAGTGGTGCTGGGGACAGCAATGGGGGTTGTGGTGCGGACGGTGGTAGGGACCGGGAGTCGTTTACTGGCGGTGAACGTGGGGTGGGGGGGGAGGGGTTCGAACCGGTAGTGACCCACCCCCCCGTTTTCGAGGGGGACCGGGGTTCGAACTGGTAAAGACCCCCCCCCCGGTTTTCCAGGGGGGGGGGTCGAACCGGCAGTGACACCCCCTCGGTTTTCCCGGGGGGGGGAGGGGGTCGAACTGGTAGTGACCCCCCCTCGGTTTCCGAGGGGGGGGGGGGGAGAGAGGGGGGGGTTGCCGGTGGAAGGGGGGGGGGTCCAGCAGGGGGGGATTTTCGAGGGGGGGGGGAAGCCCGGGTTCCGGAGGAAGAGGGGGGGAATGTTCCACAGTAAAGCGGCGGTGGATCACTCTCTCTCAAACAGTAACACATAATCAAAAATATTCAAACAAGCACGAAAAATGGTCTGGAGACTATCCTTTGACTGCTCTCGAGTATTCCGCCTGTAGAGGGACACGCCCGACTTGAATCTACACTGATCCCATCTGAGAGGCCTAGATTAGTTACTGGGGGGCGGTAACATGCGGGGCCAAGGTCCCAGACCTCCTCGGGTTATGTCAAAATCACGGCAACAGGGTTTTCGCTAGTTTCGGTCTCTCGGGGCCCTCACCTGGCCCCGGGGCTGTCAAAAGACGACTCAAGATGAAGCCGGTCCTGCGGAATGGGTCGAGAGTTCTGGGGGTCGATGTCATACAGCAAAAAATCATGACGTTGGGGGGCTGGCAGAAGTGCACTTTTCGTCCCCATTCTGGTCCCCAGGAACCCCTTTGGGACTCCTTTACGGTACAAGCGGTGCAGCTTTCTTCACACACACACACACCATGTACCGCCCCCCCATTACAATACGCAGCAACCGACCTGCGCCGACATCGCCTTCACCGGGAAAGGGTGCAGGGCCGCGGGCGGCTGCGGCATCACCTTGGCGGCGCGCGCAGCGAGGCGGTCTTACGTTTGACTGTTTCGGTTGGGCCTCCTGGAAGATCCTCGTGGCCACGGCTGGACAAGGCTGGGAAAAATTGCCAGGCTGGACAGCGATAGGGCTCTGGGGTGTCAGATTGAGCGGATTTGGGTCGGGCGCGGGGCAAAGCTGACGGCCATCTAAGAAGACAGGGGATCTCTTCGAAGCCCTCCCGCCCTTTTCCAGCGGCCTGGTTAGAAGCCCCGATCCCTTCTGAAAAGCACACTGGCTTCTTGGAAGGGAGTCCCCCACACCCCGCTCCCTTGCGCGCGCCGCCAATCACCGACGGGGGCACCGAGGAGACCGGGACGCCGTAGACGTACTTCTCCAGGTTCGCCTGCGCCTGCTCCGCCTGCAGCGCCGCCATGTTGGTGTTCTGCGCCATGGCGATCGCCTGGGCCGCGGCCTGCTTGGCCGCCGCGGACGCGGCCTTGGCCGCGGCCACCGCCTTCAGGCCCATGGCGCCAGCGATCGTGAGGTCGACTGGCATGTCTGCCGACTGTGGCCGCCGCTACGTGGCACGAGGGTCAAAGCGTTCGCCCCATACGGGGCCGAACCCTGCGCGCCTTGAGCCAAAGCGGCCAGTGAGCGATGATCCATATAATGCTAACCGAAGAATCCTGAGTTGGCCAGCGCTCTGCCAAACTCTCTTGAGCGAGCGTCAGGCAGCACTATGCACGTCGCGTAGAGGTGTTGGCAACACCTTGCTGGTAGGTGCTGACAAACCTCTGAGTCAGAACGGCCAGATGGGGTCCTCCCAATCAATCGCCATCCTCTCCCATGCTCCCCCTTTTCATCCCCCTTCCCCTGCTCCATCTCCACCTCCTCATCCACCTCATTATCCTCAACCTCAGCTCTCATCCGGCCCCTCCCTCTCTCACCTCCCTCCCTTGTCCTCCTCCTCCTCCTCCTCCTCCTCCTCCTCCTCCTCCTCCTCCTCCTCTCCCTCTTTCCTTCCGCATCCTCCGTCCTCCCTCATCCTCAGCCCTCATCCTCCTCCTCCGCCCTGGGCACCTCCTGCAGGAGTGCCCAGGGCCGACCCGGAAGGGCGCCGTGAATCTGTCGAGAGTCCGGAAGGGACTACATCCGCGGCGTGAGGGTGTCCTTAAATCTGTGCTGCGCGCCCGAAGGCAGAGCGCGGAGCAGTGGCCCACCGCCTGCCTACTCTTGCGCCCTGGGCGATGCCGCCGCGGTGATGAGCCGCGCGTGCGAGACGTGGCCAAAAGCTTGTCTGTCCGTACCGGACGATGCTTGCGCGGGGCGGGGGCTAAACTACTTACCGCTTGATGGCGGTGCAGGCTACAGAGTCTCGAAGCATGGGCGCCGACAAATTGCAACAACACCGCAGCAGCTGTCGACCAGAAGCGTGCGGCATTGTGGGCCTGTGGGGATCTCACTCCAGACTGTGTCCTGGAGTCGGCCGCCGCTGGGTGGCTGGCTGGCTGAGCGTGGCAACGAGTTACAGTGCTAGCGTAGGGGGTTCAGTCGGGTGGACGTTGTGAAACCTGTTCTGGCGACTCGCTGTGTCCAGCAAGGTTCCGGCTCTGTCGCGGAGTGGCGCGTCGTCGTAGAGTGTAACACGGCCCCTCTGGATCAACAAAACTTTAAACAGAAGTACTCCTCCTCCTCCTCCTCCTCCTCCTCCTCCTCCTCCTCCTCCTCCTCCTCTCCCTCCTCTTCCTCATCTCCCTCCGTTAGCTCCTGCTCCTGCTCCTGCTCCTCCTCCTCCTCCTCCTCCTCCTCCTGAGGCGCTGAAACACTGGTGGCTAGCGTGTCCATCCGACGCGGCCATCCCCACCGAGGGGCTTTCGCTCATGTGGGGGGGACCGAACGATCTACACTTGCATGAGCCCCCCCAGGGGCGGGGCATCTGGGTACCCCAGCGCCCTGGGGGGGGGAAGACGGGAGGCACACGTATCAAAGCGAAGAACGGTAATAGTTGGGGTGGTGGGCGGCAAATGGCGGTGGCGGCGACACATGCGGCCAGGCCACCCCCGCCAAAGTGGAAACACAGAGAGGCCATTACCCCGACCCATTGGGAATCCAAACGACGGCCCACAATCCCGCCGAGGGAACCCACGCCAGCCGGGGCAGGCGTAGAGTTCCCGAGGTAGAATTGTGTGGCCGCCACGGGGGCCCCACCAGACACTGAGAGGGGGTTCGCGCAGTCCGCGGCAGCGGCCGTGCAGCCAGGCGGCCGCGGTGCCAGCAGCAGCCCTGGCAAACGCCAGGGCAGCCAGTGGCGCGGTGCCCGTCCCTTCCACCCTCCCTGGCGGTAGGCACCCCGCGAGTTTGATACTGAAGCGGGCACGTGGCAAGTTGGTTCAACTCGAGGTGGCGGTGGCCAAAAACTGGGGCAGCGTCAACTAGTGGAAGCACGGCACCGCAGGTTGTCCCAAAGCGAAACAGGGCAAGAGCGGGCGTGGTCATCGGCGGCAATTGGCGGCGGCGGCGCTGCCGACACAAGTGGCCAGGCCGCTCCTGCCGAAGTGGAAACGCACGAAGGCCTCCCCCTACTCATTGAAAGCCCCAAAAGACTGACCACAATCCCGCCGAGGAAACCCACGCCCGCCGAGGCAGGCGCAGGGCTCCCGAGGTAGACAGCCTTGTGGCCGCCATGGGGGCCCACCAGGCGCGGGGGAGGTTCGCGCAGTCCGCGGCGGCGGCCGTGCAGCCAGGCGGCCGCGGTGCCAGAATGGAACCGCGCAAAAGACTCTCCCCCCACCCATTAGAAGCCCCCAGAGACGGCCCACAATCCCGCGGAGGGAACCCGCGCCCGCCGAAGCAGGCGCAAGGTTCCCGGTGTAGAAATTTGCGGCCGCCATGGGGTTTGCACCGGGTGCGGGGGGGGCATGCGCAGTCGGCGATGCCGCGCAGCCAGGCGGCCGCGGTGCCAGCAGCAGCCCTGGCAAACGCCAGGGCAGCCAGCGGCGCGGTGCCCGCCCCTTCCAACCCCCCTGGCGGTAGGCACCCCTCGAGTTTGATACTGAAGCGGGCACGTGGCAAGTTGGTTCAACTCGAGGTGGCGGTGGCCAAAAAGTGGGGCAGCGTCAACTAGTGGAAGCACGGCGCCGCAGGTTGTCCCAAAGCGAAACAGGGCAAGAGCGGGCGTGGTCATCGGCGGCAATTGGCGGCGGCGGCGCTGCCGACACATGTGGCCAGGCCGCTCCTGCCGAAGTGGAAACGCACAAAGGCTTCTCCCTACTCATTGAAAGCCCCGAAAGGCGGACCACAATCCCGCCGAGGAAACCCACGCCCGCCGAGGCAGGCGCAGGGCCCCCGAGGTAGACAGCCTTGCGGCCGCCATGGGGGCCCACCAGGCGCGGGGGGGGTTCGCGCAGTCCGCGGCGGCGGCCGTGCAGCCAGGCGGCCGCGGTGCCAGAATGGAACCGCACAAAAGACTCTCCCCCTACACATTAGAAGCCCCCAAAGACGGCCCACAATCCCGCGGGGGGAACCCGCGCCCGCCGAAGCAGGCGCAGGGTACCCGAGGTAGAAATTTGCGGCCGCCATGGGGTTTGCACCGGGTGCGGGGGAGGCATGCGCAGTCGGCGATGCCGTGCAGCCAGGCGGCCGCGGTGCCAGCAGCAGCCCTGGCAAGCGCCAGGGCACCCAGCGTCGCGGTGCCCGCCCCTTCCAACCTCCCTGGCGGCAGGCACCCCGCGAGTTTGATACTGAAGCGGGCGCGTGGCAAGTTGGTTCAACTCGAGGTGGCGGTGGCCACAAAGTGGGGCAGCGTCAACTAGTGGAAGCACGGCACCGCAGGTTGTCCCAAAGCGAAACAAGGCAAGAGCGGGCGTGGTCATCGGCGGCAATTGGCGGCGGCGGCGCTGCCGACACAAGTGTCCAGGCCGCTCCTGCCGAAGTGGAAACGCACGAAGGCCTCCCCCTACTCATTGAAAGCCCCGAAAGACGGACCACAATCCCGCCAAGGAAACCCGCGCCCGCCGAGGCAGGCGCAGGGCCCCCGAGGTAGACAGCCTCGTGGCCGCCATGGGGGTCCACCAGGCGCGGGGGAGGTTCGCGCAGTCCGAGGCGGCGGCCGTGCAGCCACGCGGCCGCGGTGCCAGAGTGGAACCTCGCAGAAGACTCTCCCCCCACTCATTAGAAGCCCCCAAAGACGGCCCACAATCCCGCGGAGGGAACCCGCGCCCGCCGAAGCAGGCGCAGGGTACCCGAGGTAGAAACTTGCGGCCGCCATGGGGTTTGCACCGGGTGCGGGGGAGGCATGCGCAGTCGGCGATGCCTTGCAGCCAGGCGGCCGCGGTGCCAGCAGCAGCCCTGGCAAACGCCAGGGCAGCCAGCGGCGCGGCGCCCGCCCCTTCCAACCCCCCTGGCGGTAGGCACCCCGCGAGTTTGATACTGAAGCGAGCACGTGGCAAGTTGGTTCAACTCGAGGTGGCGGTGGCCAAAAACTGGGGCAGCGTCAACTAGTGGAAACACGGCACCGCAGGTTGTCCCAAAGCGAAACAGGGCAAGAGCGGGCGTGGTCAGCGGCGGCAATTGGCGGCGGCGGCGCTGCCGACACATGTGGCCAGGCCGCTCCTGCCGATGTGGAAACGCACAAAGGCCTCTCCCTACTCATTGAAAGGCCCAAAAGACGGACCACAATCCCGCCGAGAAAACCCACGCCCGCCGAGGCAGGCGCAGGGCTCCCGAGGTAGACAGCCTTGCGGCCGCCATGGGGGCCCACCAGGCGCGGGGGAGGTTCGCGCAGTCCGCGGCGGCGGCCGTGCAGCCACGCGGCCGCGGTGCCAGAATGGAACCGCGCAAAAGACTCTCCCCCCACTCATTAGAAGCCCCCAAAGACGGCCCACAATCCCGCGGGGGGAACCCGCGCCCGCCGAAGCAGGCGCAGGGTACCCGAAGTAGAAATTTGCGGCCGCCATGGGGTTTGCACCGGGTGCGGGGGAGGCATGCGCAGTCGGCGATGCCGTGCAGCCAGGCGGCCGCGGTGCCAGCAGCAGCCCTGGCAAACGCCAGGGCACCCAGCGGCGCGCTGGCGGTAGGCACCCCGCGAGTTTGACACTGAAGCGGGCACGTGGCAAGTTGGTTCCACTCGAGGTGGCGGTGGCCAAAAACTGGGGCAGCGTCAACTAGTGGAAGCACGGCACCGCAGGTTGTCCCAAAGCGAAACAGGGCAAGAGCGGGCGTGGTCATCGGCGGCAATTGGCGGCGGCGGCGCTGCCGACACGCGTGGCCACGCCGCTCCTGCCGAAGTGGAAGCGCACAAAGGCCTCCCCCTACGCATTGAAAGCCGCAAAAGACGGACCACAATCCCGCCAAGGAAACCCACGCCCGCCGAGGCAGGCGCAGGGCCCCCGTGGTAGACAGCCTTGTGGCCGCCATGGGGGTCCACCAGGCGCGGGGGAGGTTCGCGCAGTCCGCGGCGGCGGCCGCGCAGCCACGCGGCCGCGGTGCCAGAGTGGAACCGCGCAGAAGACTCTCCCCCCACTCATTAGAAGCCCCCAAAGACGGCCCACAATCCCG